CAATGACTCCTAGGGTATTTGGATAAATATATTTCATTTTGATCGAAGGGGGTCCCCGGGAAAGGGCACCTCACAACTGATTTTTTTTCGTTTTGATTTAAATTTGAACATGGAAATGACTCCTATCCAAAATATAGAAGGAGAAGAAGATGGAGGTCACATCGGCAAGATCAGAAACAGACAATATGATCATCAAGTTTAGCAAGAAATTATCAATCTGTGGGTAATGCCTTACAGTACATATTTATTGCGACAATTCAACTGTCATATTAATGTTGAAATCTGCTCATCAATTCATTCAATCAAGTATTGCATCAAATACATATCAAATGGTTCAGATCAAGCTGTTGTTGTACCAAACCCCCACTGAAATTTATTTTTCTTTTGATTTAAATTAAATTTAAACAAGGAAATGATTTCTATACAAAATACAAAACGAGAAAGCCAGAAGATGGAGTTCACCTCGGTAAGATCATTAACTAATATTGAGATGGATCATTTTTCTCCACAAATTATAACAATTATTTAAAATCAATCGTTATTTAAAAAAAAAAAAGAAATCTGTGACACTCAGCACGGTAACTCGGCTAGTAATTAATAATCCATATATATTTTTAAAGATGGCAATGCACGTAATCATTAAAATAGGCGTTTTTTCAAAGTTTAATTTAACAGAGAGAAATGGAATGACTAAAAGAGAGAAAGATAAAGACAAATGCGTTTACTTGGCGATTGAATTTATCGAACTCCGATGAGAATTGGCGTCTGAAGGTCATCTTCTTTATCGCGTTTGCACAATTGTAAAAAAAAAAAAAAAGACAAAAAAACTTCCAGTACAGTATTAGTGACGTCTGAGCTTCGAGTTAACCTAGACATTTATGTTAGCTGACTGCATCGTCGTCTTAAGATCACCAAGTTCAGTCGTAATAGCAAAAATATACTACGTGCTGAATGATTACAGGTCAGGTTGTCGCTGAAAAAAACCCAAATACACACAGAGAAAGTAAAGGTGAAAGATGTGTTTCTTTTTTATCAATAAAATCAGTCGGAGCACAAAACGGTCTAGCTGATGGTAGGTATCGAAAAGTAATGACCTCGTTTATACAACATTCTCTATCTCTATACACTAAACATTCACAAAAGAAATATGCATATATAGATTTTGGTTTAGTATGTTGTGCTAGACAATTATACTTGCCAGAAACTATTTTACATATTCAAAAGTCTACCATTCGGCCTTGCTTTGAATCCTGCTTCTACGTCTGGTCGGGTGCTCCTGCTATATATTTAGAGATTCTTGATAAAATCCAAAGAAGAATCTGCAATGTTAATGGTCTTGATCTGGTATCTCGGCTTCAGTCACTTTTCTCCCCCCCGTAACATATCTTCCCTGTGCCTTTTCTATAAATACATTCATGCTAATTGTTCTGAAGAAATTTCCACTACGGGCACTTTAATGTGGTGTAATGTTTAACAAGCTTGTCTCGCTAGATCAGTTATGAAGTAATAGTGAGTTCGATCCTCACTGGGTGACACACACTGTCGGCCTGGTGACACATCTAATCTTCGCGTAGAAAATCATTGTTTAGGTCAGTAATTATGGCTATCTAGGTCTAATTATAAGACAGAAAATGATCAGCCTCCTCCTCCTTTCGTGATTGTGCCACATCGTAGTATTATACAAAATAAATATTAATTTCCGCTATGGTACATAAACTTTACCTTTAGACTAAAATACAGAACAGAGAAATATTTAAATATGGACACAAATGTAGACCCGAGCAATATTTGCCTATAAATTTAAGTTCAGGCACGAATAATATTCATCTATAGACTCTTACAGACCCAATAATAAACACTGTCCAGCAAACAGTGGCAAAAGAGTTATGGATCTCATATCTATCTATCTATCTATCTATCTATCTATCTAACTCTTTTCGTATCTGTATATCTAAGTCTTTTCATATCTATCTATCTACCTATATATATATCTTTTCGTATCTATTTATCTATCTATCTATCTATTTTGTTATTTATCTTTTTATATTTCTTTAAGTTTTTTCATATCTATCTATCTATCTATCTATCTATCTATCTATCTATCTATCTATCTCTATCTATCTCAGTCTTTTCGGATATATCTGTCTATTTTGTTATTTATCTTTTTATATCTCATTATCTAATCTTTTCATCTCTCTCTCTCCCTCGCTATCTATCTATGTACGTCTTTTCGTCTCTCCATATCTACGTCTTTTCATATCTATCTATCTATCTATCTATCTATCTATCTATCTATCTATCAGTCTTTTCGTATATATCTGTCTATTTTGTTATTTATCTTTTTATATCTCATCATCTAATCTTTTCATCTCTTTCTCTCCCTCGCTATCTATCTATGTACGTCTTTTCGTCTCTCCATATCTACGTCTTTTCATATCTATCTATCTATCTATCTATCTCAATCATTTCATATCTATCTAATCCAATCTTTTTATATTAA